CGGCTCAGGGGCCAGCCACAGCCCCCGGGGGCCTGGGGGAGCCCAGCTGGGCGGTGGCTGGCAGGCACTGGGCATTTGCCCATGAGGGCCCGCCACTGGCCAATGTGCCAGTGCCCTGACATAAGATCCATGAGGAGATTCCCCAAGACCCTGCCGGAAGGCGTTGCCCAGGGGTCTTTCATCCCCTTCCTACTACCCCAGGGCCTGGCTGTTGCCCATGTGAGTGACAGGGTCAGAAGCAGTTGTCCCCAACATGATCCAAGGGGCTGTTGTGCCCGCGGGCCTGCAGCCCCTGCTCAGCCAGGCCTCTGCTGCTGGAACACCAAGTAATTCCAGATTTTATCAGTCCTCCCATAGCCAGCCAGCCCACATCACCCCGCCAGCCTGATGACAAGACCAATCGCTGCTCCCAGCCGTCTGAGACCAGAAGTGCCACCATCACAGCTGCAGAGCCTGACCCAGTGGGCTCAGAACACGAGAGGGAACTGGAGAACAGAACAACAGCCCAGTCTAGACAGGCAGCACCAGAGTCCATCCTGCATCCCGTCCACTTGCAGGACAGGCTGGGGATGAGCTCCTGCTCCTGCAACCAAAACAACCATCCCTGAGGAGCTCCCTGGACACATCCTCGTGCCCTGGAAGCAAGAAGAGGCACCAGCTCCTCCACAGAGGGACATGGGCTACTTTTGAGTGCCTGGGGCTAGGACTTCACACACAGCCTAGGGCGAGGAAGAGGAGAGGAGAGGGGACGCCTGGGGCCCTGCTCCTGGGCCAGCACCCAACATCCTCCCAGGAAACATAAACTGGGAGCTGAGTCAGAGACACAGAACACGCCGGTGGTTTGGCAAGGACCGGCAGGCAGGAGCAGGCAGCCACGCGCCGGCCACTGTACGTATGTGCCTGGAGACCCCCTTGGTCCAACAGTGGAGCCACCCCCGAGCCTCCAGGGTAGGAAGGACGCAAAGGAAAACCACTCAAATCCAGCCAACAGCTGTTTTTTCCACCCAAACATCATGACAACATTGCAGGGGATCTACACGTGTGCCTGCGCTGCTCAGAAAAGGGGCCAGGAGACGGCAGTGAAGACCTGGGGAGGGGGCTGGGGCCCTGCCAGCAGGGAGAGAGGGGAGGCAGGATCTACCACCGAAGCCACCAGCCCTCCACCGAAGTCCTTACCACGTACTCCATCGGCGGCGGAGGGCAGGGCAGGCCCCGGGCAGGGAACAGAAGCGCACAGCCCCTCTCGTCTGGCACTGCCACCTGCGCTGCGGGGACAAACAGCAGTTAGCCAGTCCTGGCCCAGCCCACCCAGGCGGTGGCCCTGGCACCAAGAGGCAGACCCTGCTCCTCGTTGCTGACAGCAGGCAGATAGGACACACAGGGATAGAGGCAGGGAAGACTCCTGCTTCCCACCCAGGGGAGGACGGAGCTGGGATGCACCAGGGAAGGAGCACGAGGCCAAGCCTGGCTCTGCTCAAACCGAGCTGGCACCGGCAAACGGCGACGAGGGCCAAGAATTACTCCATGACCTGAGACAAGTGTCGGAGCCAACCCCTGCCCAGCCCCTAAACCAGCCACATGCAACAGGGGAGAGCAGAGACAGCCCAGGGGGGCAGAGCTGCCCCCCACTGCCATCCCCTCAGTTGGCACCTTGCTGAGAAAGAAGGTGCAGAGCCTCCAGGGCTGTGGTCTCCTCCTCCCCAGGGCAGCAGGGAAGAAGGAAATTGTGGAAGGAGACTTGGAGAGGAGAGCCAGGAGAGGCAGGAAGCTCTGTGAGGGGAAAACAAGGCAAGTGAAGCAGGAGCAGCTCTGGAGCCACTGCCCTTCCCACCCCCACCCAGCCAGCACAGTTGAGGCCGGGAAGGAACGTGATTTATTTCCTTGCAGCAAATCCTGCCCTTATCTGGGGCCTGCGGGAGCCCAGGCAGGCACTAACACAATTAGCTCGGAAGGCATCGAGATAAGGAGGGCCAACCCCTCCCACAGCATGATCTGCCCCAGGCAGGCCATGGCTGTACTGCCCTGGGTCACCCACTGGTGGTGACAAGGCCCCTTAGGCACTGGGAGCTGAGGTTGGAGGCAGGGAAGGAGGATCAGGACCCTGACCCAGGGCACACAGCCCTGCCAAGGCCTCCTCGGGACCCAAATATGTCCCCAGCCAGGATGGGACACTGCCCAGCACAGCTCCTAGGGAAAGGAGGAGCCCAGCCATGGTGCTCCCCCACGAAAGAGCAGCAGGCATTTTCTCAGATCCTGTTTGGATGGGAAGAGATAGCACCTCTGACCCGCCCGGGACAGGCTGGGATGTCCCCAGGGAACACTGCTGGGAGCTGCTCTTTGCCCCTGGCCTCCCATTGCCCCAACTGGGCAGGCAGGGCCAGGGGCAGGTTTCCTTGGAACCCACATCCATGGTCTCCAACTCCCCATCCCAGAGATTCAGCCAGAGACGCAAGGACAACCCATAACAGACGGACACATGGACACAAAACACTGCCAGGGAAAAGACAAACTCTGCAAGGGGGAATGTCTGCTCTGGGTTCCTGCCCCCCAGGCACAGGCAGGGCTGAAGGCAGGAGGGAACAGGCAGGCACCACGGAGGCCAAGGATCCCTCCGATCCCAGCCGGTGCCCCATCCCTGCGGGAGGTCAGACCAGTCTAGGGGCCGGGGGTTTGACCCAGTTTGTGAGAGGGTCCCTGGAAACGGCCTCCCTTCCGCGTACCGGTGCCGAGGACTCGGGACAGGGCAACGCAAGCCAAAGCGCAGGCAGCGGCCCTTGGCACACACAGCGACCGCCGCTGGGACCGACCCAGCGACACACGAGGACCGACCGGGGGGATGAATTCTGAGATTGAGAGGGCTTTCCTCATGAGGGACCAGCTCGTGGTTGTATACCAGTTGAATAGCC